CAACTGACTCATTGTGTTATTAGGTGTAATTCTTCAGTATCTTAAAGAATATGGCTTTTTACCATTACAGGCTATTTTATTGGAGTCATGGTATTAAGTTTAATGTCTTTGTTGGTGAGTACTCTGTATGTATATGTTCATGTGCCTCTGTGTGCATGCATGTGCATCAAGAGCATATTTGGTAAAAGGTATAAAAGGTAGTATGTTTTATGCTTGATGTTCAGGTCAACCCAGAGAGTAGTCACGAGTGGGCTACTGTCCACGGAGTCCAGACTACAGATCTTTAGAATCACCTCTGTACACATTGGAAATATTTCAATTCTAGTTTTGAATTTGGAAAATGAGCAAAATCAAACCATCATAGTTTTATAATTCTTATTTCTGTGCGTAAAACTGCAAAATCCTCACATTGGGTGAGTAAACTTGTTTTCAGTAATTCTCAGGAGACGAATACAATCTTCTGCAGGTGGTGGAGCTAGAGGATCTAAGGTTAAAGATGTTCACAGACTTAAGGATGGGGACACAGCACTCTCTGGAACAGAATTTAGAGAGCCAACGTCACAATCCACTCCCTAAGCTGCAAGGCAAATGGATTTGCACTCTAAGTCAAACTGAGTGCGAAAGGAAATCTGGGTCTTTGGCCACATCCAGATGATGTCACAGCAGGAAAGCTACTGTGGGCAGAGCATCACCTTCTAACTCCACTTCTTACAAGTTATGAAGCTTAAGGAAGGTCTAATTCTCTTTATATATTAGATTCTAAATCAAAAAACTAACAACAACTCTGAACTAACATGTCTTTAAGTATCGAATGAGTTAATTTAAAGGAGGCTCTTGGCAGTGTTTAGCACATAGTATTTACTGCATGTGACTATTTTTATCGACGTGATACAAGTTTGTAATTCTATATGTAATTATTTTGAAGGAGTTCACTGGTTTGGAAACATCACATTTTTTTTGTCAAAGAAGCCAAAGACACAGATGATAATTTGAGTTTTATTTTAACACTATTGCTAAATAAATTTTGAATAAGATACATTTCCTTAAGTGAGTTCTAATTTGGTCTCATTTTAAGCCAGGATTTGGAGCAAGAACATCAGCAGACTGTATGTTTGAAATATATCTTCTAGTTATCAAACACTGGTGCTAATCATGAAGCTGCCTCTTCCATGAACTTCCAATCTCATCACTAAGATAAACCAAAAGTGGGTCCAAGTATGATCTCCATGTGATAGCGGAGAAAGAGTGTTGTACTGGAACCCATTCCGGGAAGTGTAACTCTGCTTGCCCAGTGTCAAGTGCACACTGAGGACTAGGATCTATGTTCTTCGTACTCTAGAAGGAACAAAGAAATTTAATAACTCTTTCCTCCTGCTTGGCTGGTGATGCACACCTTTTAGCCCCACACTCAGGAGAGAGAAGCGTGAGGATTTGAGTTTGAGGCCAGGTTGGTCTACCTAGTGAGTTCCAAGCCAGTCAGGACTGCAAGGTGAGACTGCCTCAAAATAAATAAATAAATAAATAAATAAATAAATAAATAAATAAATAAATAAA